TATACCACATTTTTAGATAAACAACTTCCACTCATTAGACAATTGTTTTTTTGTTTACAATTACTTTTACAATTAATTAATTTTCTGTAGTTTTTTCATTTAGGATTTCTTTTTTGTTTAACAAAGCATCATTGTGACCTTTTATAATTCTTTCCATATTTTTTGTGCAACTGTAGCTAACTTTAATTGTATTTCGATTAAAAAATTGATGTAACTTATTAGAGGGCGGGAAATGCTTATTGATTAATTTTAAAAACATTTTACCTATGTTAAAGGAAACATTTTTGCTATATGAGGGGTTGAACCAAATTACATTTCTAGTTCTATTTTGCTTTTTTGTACGCTTTTTTTCAAGGTCAAATTTTAGTTCAAAATTTTCAAAGCCACTTTTTTTAAGGGCATCTTCAAATATTTGTTTAGAGGAATTGAATATGTCTTCATTAGAGGAGTTTTGGTTTAGCCTGTTATTAATTGAAATCGAAATTTGTTTTAGAATTTGGGGTGGATGATTTGAGTTAATATTAATATACAATAATTCATCGTTTGGTTTTTCGAAAGGCTTATATGAATTTTCAGGGAGGTTAAATGTGACGTCAAGAAAGTTCACGATTTTTAAATTTATGTTTATTTCGATTTGAAAGCCAATATTTTTAAAAAATTTTATAATATCTTTTCTAATTTTATTCGCAATTTGCATTACTATTAAACCATTGTTGCGATAAAAGCCTAAATCATTTATATTGATTATTTTACTTAATAAATCGAAAATATATAGTCCAACAAATTCACAAATTTCTGCTTTATCATAATTGCCCATTGTTACGTCAAAGCAGCCATGTATGTTTTTCTTTCTCCACGTTTCCTTATAAAAATAAAGTAAGGTTTTTCTATAATGTTTTATTATGCGGATTGTTTCTTCAGGAATAATTGTGTGGCTTTTCGTAAATTCAATTGTTTTATCTAAAATATCTGCAGTTATTGAGGAGTAAAAATCAAATTGAATAAATGTGGAGAACCGATTTATAACATCAGTGGTATTTTTCCACTGTTGCAAATTTAATTTATTTTAAGTTTTGTCCAATTTAACTTTGCTTCCATGTCCAATCTCACTTTTTGGGGAAACCAATAACCTACAAGGAAGTTTGTTTTTAAAATTTGGTTTATGGTTTTTTAGTGTTACAAAGGCTTGGGCAGGAGCAGTTGATTCGATTCTGTTATCGAGGTTTATGTTTTTAGCAATACTTTTCGCTTCTAAATTAATTGCATTTTCCATATTTTTAGGGGCTTTCTCATACGAACTAGTAATATTGTCGCGTAAGATTTTTTCATAGTTTTATGTTGTAAGTTGGTAAATGTTATTTGTTTCATCAGCAAAAACCAAAATGTTAGGGTTTGATTTAATTTTTTTAGCATCTAACTTTAATTCTGTTTGAAATTTATTTTTTATAGGGCGAAACTTTATTGTTTTAATTAAGTGCAATAGGTCATTTTCAAAATTTTCTAAATCAGGTATAAAAGGTGGGGTATTTTTTGTTTTAAATCCATAATTATCATTATCTTGGTTATTATTAAATACATCATATATGCTACAGAGAATCGGGACAATTTTCTTTTTTCAAGGGTAACATATAGTTTCTGGTTACTCTAGTGCTAAATTTATTTTTTATTAGATTTAAAAAAGTTATTTATAAATCGACTTGGAATACCCATTTTATGTTTGAACATAAACAAAATATTTTGATATATATTGATTTGGTAAATGTATAAAGCATTTATCTGTTTCAGTAATGGGTTAAAGTAAGCTTGTCTTTATAAAATATAATTCTCGAAGCAAGTTTCTACCGTCTATAGAGAGAACCTTTTTTTTTCTTTCAATGTCTTCGCTTCCAACAAGGCTGCAACCCTGCGGGCATTTTGACGTCTGTAAGACGTCTTAAGTCTCGTGCGTAAGACATCCTTAGTTGGTCTCAAATAAAAGGCTTGAGGACGTCTAATCCAGACGTCCTAAAGACGTCTTTTCAAGACGTCCTAGAGATGTTTTTTGCAGACGTTCTAGAGACGTCTCTAGCTGGTCTTATATAAAAGACTTAAGGACGTCTTTATCAGACGTCCTAGAGACGTTTGAATTTTACCAAGACATTTTTTTAAAAGTTATACAAAAATGCAATGATTTACAACACACACCTTAGATTTGCCTTAATCTAGGCAAGGAAAGTTATAAAAAGAAATCAATGTAAATAAAGTGCAATTTGATATATTTAAAATAAATTAATAACTTTACAAAAAATAAGAATGATTTTTCAAACAAAGTTACATTTTCCAAATTAAAAACTAATAGGTACTGTAGAATATAATCGATAGTGCATTATAAATAGAAGAAAATTGCTTAAAAATGGAAAAAAAAAAAAAAAATACAACAGTTAATAAGGCCATCATTGATCGAAATCCATATTAGTGGATGTTCTCTTTATTCGGTCAGAAGAATGCCTAATTACTCTCCCAATATGTTGGATGACATCCATTTTGGTTCAGTTTTTATTTGACTTTAAAGCAGCTTCTAATAAAAACAACAAGACATATTTCAATAAGATCATAAAATAAAATATACTTGAATACATGTCATGGTCCATAGCCAAAGTAATTTAAATTTTAATTAAAACATCAATTTTAATTTTAAATTAATCAAACACATTAATAAGCTAATAAGAATACCAGTGACAGCGTTACATAGACTTGTCAACTCTTTAAACGTTTTTTTCTTCTTTAGACAATTCATGCAGTATTCTGACAAAATAGTGTCTTTTGGTCTACATATATAAAAAAGATGATAAATACTGTACAGTAAATTATAAATTTTAAAATTCAAACTTTTACTAATTACTTACAAGAGCAAAATATTTTTAATTGTATCAGCTGGATTTTTACCGCCAATTAATTATAACTTTTTTTACCTAAAAACAAACAATGTATAAGAAATATTGAAAATGTTTATGACAATTTTAAAAAAATATTGTAATAATATATAACATATAAACTATAAAGATGAAACTCAAGTATACAAAGGTGATGTATTGGATATCTCCATTTGCGAATTTTCTTTTCAAAACATTAAGTTTATCTGAACTTTTACGTTGCTTAAAACCTTCTTCTGGATTATTAGAGAACAGTGCAGTTCTATCTACTAAAATTTTTTTCATTTCAGCAAGTTGAAATATAAATTTTTCTGAAACTCTAAAAAGTAAAATATATAAGTGAAGCCATATAAATAGTATATATAGTACTTCCTATATATGGTTAAAAAGAGGTAGATTTAAACTGAATAATGCAAAAAATCTCAAGTTTCATGCTTAACCTTAAAAAAATATATAAACAAGTAAAGTTCAGGAAAATTATAGGGTTGTTGTCTAACGCTAAAAACTGTAAAGAATCGCTACCTATACACAAACACACACTCATACATTATATATATATATATATATATATATATATATATATATATATATATATATATATATATATATATATATATATATATAATATATATATATATATATATATATATATATAGGGGAAGTGGGGGCATAACCGCCCCCGTAACTTTTGGATTAATGTTATTTGAAAATAAAAACGAAATGTGTTTTTTTAACAGTTTATTTCAATAACCACATAATTACGCTTTAAATTGATGCATTTAAGAAAAAAATTGAATGGGTTTTGAAAATATTATTACACAAAAATTACACTTAGTGAAAAAAAACGGTTTTGCCCCCATTGTGAGGCACAACCGCACCCTCACAAAAATCGATGGGGCTACACCTTTCATGGTACATTTTTTTTACAATTTTCACAGCTCAGATTATTTGATAATTTTGTTGCATGTTTGCATACTGTGCAGACATTCTTTGTATTTACATTTTGAGTTCTGCCCCAGAAGAGAGTTCTGCCCCAGAAGAGAGTTTTTAGAAAGAATTCAGTTTCATAGCTTAATTATTAGATTATGATATTATCAAAAATATTGGATCCCCACCACGTCCCTGGTAGTACCGCGCTCAACTCATTTCTCTGTGCAGCGGCCTTGTTCATCAAGGTTCGTATTTCGGAGTTATAGAGTTGAGAGAGGGTTATAACCACAAAATAAGTAGCCTCCTCGTCTGTAGTGGCCTTCTCGGCCTTGAGGAGGTGAATTAAATAAATATATATATATATATATATATATGTATATATATACATATATATACATATATAATATATATATATATATATATATATATATATATAAAAATATATATATATATATATACATATATATACATATATATATATATATATATAAATAAAAAAAAATATATATATATATGTATATATATATACATATATATATATATATACATATATATATATATATATATATATATATATATATATACATATATGTATATAAATATTTATATATATATATATATATATATATATATATATATATATATATATATACATATATGTATATATATATATATATATATATATATATATATATAAATATATAACTATATATATATATATATATATATATATATATATATATATATATATATATATATATATATATATATATATATATATATATATAAATATATATATATATATATAAATATATAACTATATATAATTATATATAAATATATATATATAAAAATATATATATATATAAATATATAACTATAATATATATATATAGTTATATATTTATATATATATATATATATATATATATATATATATATATATATATATATATATATATCAAATAATAATTTAAATGCAGAAATATATCTTTGTAATGGAACTTAAAGTTTTATGCCTTTTTGTCAATCATCAGTCATATTATTAAAAAATATAAAATCATTATAAAAAATACAAGTTTAGCATTGCATCAGCATCTAAGGTCAAATATCCGATACTCAGCGGAATCAAAGCGATAGTAAAATAAATTTTTTTTCTTCCCTTTTCGAGATGTATTTCCAATAGTATACAACATTTATTGTTACCAACATTTATAATTATCTTAAGTGATCCACCTCCTACAAAATTTTAATTTTATATTAAAAAATATATATTATTAAGTTCTATATTATATATAGGTTATATATTATCTCTTCATCTAATAATGTTTTTACCTGAATCAATTCCAATTCGTATTAATGTTTGGTAAGGGTTTTGCTTTCTGTAAGTCATTACAAAGTTAAACAGCTCTGTTAATTGAAAAACATAAACAAGGTCTCTTGACACATCGGTTGACAACTTTTTTTTTTTTTTCTTCTGCAAAAATTGTCTTCACATCATAAAATTCAGATAGGAGTTTACTTTTTTGGTAAAGTTTTTTTTCAAGATTTGCCTCAAATTGAATTCCACTTTTCCTTAAGGATTTCAGAAGGATGTGTGATTTGAATTGACGGATGTGTGATTTGAAAGTCCAAGTTGATTAATCATAGTTTCAGTGTCTTCAAATTTGACTTTCCTAATAACTAATTGAGGAACACCAACAGTTAAAGGTAATGGCAACCCACCTGAATAACAAAATACTTTAGATGATTTAATCAATTCGAAAACACTAATAAATCTAATAAACAAATTACCAGTAATTAGATGGGTCTGGATTCCATGCTTAAGTTTCTTTTTCTTAATAATCTATCTTAAAACATTCGAAGTGACTTTTTTCTGAACTTTTTCCGAAGCATTAAATAACTTAGCAGAAAGATTTGTATACACATTCATTTTAGTACATTGATGTTGAACTCCTTTTTTGATCGCACATAAGCAAACGTTAAACATCCTATTAGAACTTACTAATTTCTTTGTTTTTTTCATATGTGGAAATCTTGATCTAGCCTTTGAACAAACTGTGCATGTTTCACAATTTCTAGTGCTTACACATCTAGATAATTGGGAAGATTGCCATCGAGTTTTAACTGCATTTGGTATGTCTTTACTTTCCTTCAGTAAGTTTACATACTTTTTGCATGTTAGACAAATGCCTACATAAAGTAAATTCATTTTTAAATAATGATTATTTTTAGAAAGTAATTTTTAATAAAATAATTGCATTAGTTAATCATAATATGGAATATACCTGTTGGATAACTGTACACAGATATTGAATATTCAAGTTTTACATACATTTTTATGTAAGCCTCTAATAACTTCGTTACTGGAATACATTTTAAGCATTTCTTCAAACAACAGCAAAAAATAATTTTCTGATTCAATGAATGGTCTCGTTTTTCTTTGCTGTTTACTGTTTTGTTAGATAATATATTAGGCATTTTTCTAATAAAGTAGTTTATGTTTAATATTAACAATAACAAAACAATAATTAGGGTTTGAAACATTCTATTATTATATTAAATAAATAAACTACTATATAATATACTATATGAATTACGCTTCCATCAACAATCGCATTAGTTAATTAGGCGATTAAATTTTGATCATCTTAAGATGATCAAAATTTAATCACCTGCAATACTGAATTAACCTTAACATAATTAAAAAGTGGTAATATTGATTTTTTATAAGGAAAACCTTAACTTTACAACTCTCACCCCCTCCCCTTTTATAAAATAATTTACAAAAGTTTGAAATCGTTTTTTTCAAAAACGGCTACCTTTTGATTTTTAGGCTTCTAGATACAGTATCCTGAAGAGTCACTGATAAAAGCTCCATAAAAATATTTGGGGAACTCTGACCTGAAACTTAAAACCTATTTTTTTGATGTGTGGTACTTTTGGCTTTTAAAACCGAGTTTTTTCCCGAGATAGAATTTATGATTAGCGATATAAAATAGATGACAGGGTTATAACTCGTGTTGTAATATCGAATTCTATCGCATTATTTTAATTGTTGATATCTGTTAGATATCGCTATAATATAGCCATAATTATATGTTATATAAAACAATGACAAGTCATGGAAAATTATATTATTTATATTTTTAATAGCTGTACTTTTGACTTCTATTACATGATTTGTATTTTGGATGGCTGTACTTATGGCTTCTATTATATGATTTGAATATTTAATAGCTGTCCTTTTGACTTTTTTTACATGATTTATACTTTTGATGGCTGTACTTTTGGCTTCTATTTCATGATTTGTACTTTTGACGGCTGTACTTTTGGCTTCTTTTAAATTATTTACATTTTTAATAGCTGTACTTTTGGCTTCTGTTACATGATTTGTGTTTTTGATGGCTGTACTTTTGGCTGCTATTTATGATTTTTATTTGTAATAGTTGTACTTTTGACTTCTATTACATGATTTTTACTTTTGATGGCTGTACTTTTGGCTTCTATTATATGATTTGAATATTTAATAGCTGTACTTTTGGCTTCTGTTACATGATTTGTATTTTTTTAAGCTGTACTTTTGGCTTCTATTATATGATTTGTATTTTTAATAGCTGTACTTTTGACTTTTTTTACATGATTTATACTTTTGATG